ATATATATATATATATAGGTGCAAATAGTAATATAACATGCTGAAGGTGGTTGTGAATACTGAATAACTATGTGTAAAGATTTACATACAGCATCTTTTTAACAGATCTATTGATGTTAATCAAAGCACAATTTAAAATTCAGCTTACCCTTTAGCATGAATTTCCTCATTCTTGGAGATGTAAATGCACTGTCTCTTAGATGGGGGGGTTGTGCTTGTATCATCATCATCATCAGAAGATGAGGAGCTTTCTAGTGTCAGATCAATTACATCAGTTTTCTTGTTGAGATTGGGTTCCACAGGATGGACTACCACTGATGACTGGTGTAAAGGAGTTGTGGCTGAAAAATAATGTTAAAAATATTAAACATGCTCTATTACCATAAACAATATTTTAGAGATCCATTTACCTCATAAATATATAGTATGTTAAGCACACAGTCCCAGCCTTCCTTTTACCCACCTCTTTCATTATTTACATTACAAATGCATGGTATATTGCTATTAACATTAGCATTGGCCTATCAATTACTCATTTTTATTTTTATCCTGATGACCTTCGTGTGTAAGCTTTGGAAATGGGGTTGTGGGACCGACCAAGTGGCATTTGTCTGGGTATGTTAAAGTGATCCAGTACAGAATTGGGGGTATATGGGTAAGTAGCAGCAGAAATTAGAAAATTAGAAAAACTGCAAATAACAACAGGAATGAAAAATAGTTATTGGGTTTATTGAGAGCAGTGATGGTTATAGAGCCTGAATGCCCTCCTGCACAGTCGGGCTGGGACGGCCCGGCCTCAGTTCAAACCTGAGTCTGACATTTTTGCATTAGCACTTAGAGTCCAATTCCTTCCTGCTCCTTGAATCCTAAATGGATTGTGTGTGCAATGATGCTTTTTTACTGACACATACCTGTTTTCACCTGGTTTGTACATCAGCTTTGTGCGTGCCATCAAGTTTGCACCCATTTTTATACACATAAACCTTTTAAAGATTAGACCTCAAGTGTGATTCCAAATTTTTTCATTAACACATTAAAACACCACTCTTAAAGAATGGCATTTTACTTAATTCCAGCTTGTGAAGTATTTGCATCTCCCAGAACGCCATTAAGAATTTTCAAATTAAACAATCAAGAAACTGGGAATCGGGATTTGTTTGAAGATGCTTTTTTATTTAGGCAGTTCTGTTTTGAACTTAGCTATCAGTGATCTCTGGAGAACAATGGTCTGAGGATTTTTTAACAGATGTCTTGAATAGCACTGATCTTTTTAGGCTCCATCAGTCTGTGACCTTTAGTATTTTGGGAATCATTAGTATCTGGTGGGAGCATCTGCTCCCATAAGACTCTTTCAAATTTTATAGTCTTATAAGAAATTTCTAAACTTTTTGAAAATTTTGATAATTTTTTTGAATAACTCTTTCTCTGATAGTGAAAGTGATTTTTAATAAATTAATTTGCATTTTATTGCATGACATAAGTATTTGATACATCAGAAAAACAAAACTAAATATTTGGTACAGAAAAGTTTGTTTCCAATTACAGATGTCAGATATTTCCTGTTCTTCTCAACGAGGTTTGCACCAGGGCTGTAACAATTCCTCAAATGATTTGAGTACTTTGATTATTACAATTCCTTGAGCCAAATTATCTGCCTCAAAGCTTTGTTAAATTATGTTTTTTTTATTTAGCATATCATGTGATTCTTTGTGTTGCGCAACACTTTTACTTCTGCCGATGAGTTGCTGACGAATGATAAGTGTTAGCAGCATAACATTCAATTTTCAAGTTCGGTCAGGGAATACAGAGTTATTTCATTGATTTATGATAATGGTTTTTATCATTTCAAGCAACCTTCCATTGGCTAGAGCGATGCCTGGAGTACAGCAGTCTTTCTCCTCCTGGAGCTGCTGCCTGGTGGCTGCTTCAGAGTGAACGGCGGGGAAGAGCGCAGAGGGTGTTTTGTTACAGGTGAGCAGATAGACTGAACACAACGGCTGGCTGCGCTGTAATTGATCCTTAATGTAAGTGCAGCTTTACAAACAAACCGGAAAATAAAGTTACCACAATCCTGGTCGCAACAAATGGGTAGTAGAGTGCAACCTGGCAGAACACAGCTGGTAGATGTGCTTCTGCATGTGACAGAGGAGCCAAATCCAGCCACTCAAATGGACATAAAAGCATGGGCAAAGTGAGTGTTCATCTATTAAACTGACTGAAGATGGATACATAAACTAAAAGCTGATGCATCAACATTTTTATTATTATTATTTTTTTTTACAAATGTCTTTGTAAGTCTGGCTCTTTATTATTAAATTGAATATATTTTCAGATTTTCGTACATTTTTTGTCCAGGTTCACTTCAAAAGTGTGCTATTATTGTTAGAGGTATATTTTCTAAACTATAGAAAACTGTTAGGGATGCTGAAATATGAAAATGTAGGCCTATATCTGACAATACTGCTGTTATAACAGTATTTACCTATTTTTTTAATCAAATATTTTTTTTCAATTACTCTATTAATCATCAGAATAACATATATACTGTAATACTCAATTACTCAATCATTTACAAAAGCCCTAGTTTGCTGCAGCAGGGATTTTGGAGCACTCTTCCATAAAGATCTCCAGATCCTTCAGGTTTTGGGGTTGTCACAGGCAAATACAGACTTTCAGCTCCCTCCAAAGATTTCCTATTGGGTTCAGGTCTGGAGACTGGCAAGGCCACAATAAGATGTTTCTTACTGCAACAGTGTCTTCATAGGCATGCCTAATAACTCAATTAGACAGTTGTAGTTGATCAGGAATGCTGCTACTTGCGTTCTTACGGCATGTCTTATTGGATGTCTTCCATATTTGGCTCACAGAGTGCCTGTCAGTCAGTGGCCTCAAAACATCCCTGTAGTGTCTCAGTGACCTCCTTTGACCACCTCCTCACTGTCCTCGTAGTTGCAGGCTGTCTCTTCACCAGAGGTATATAACATGGGCTGAGGTACACCAGGTTATGATCCGACCATCCAAGTGGATTGAGGGGAGAGGAACTGTATGCATCCTTTACGTTAGCATACAGCAGGTCCAGAGTTCTCTTCTCTCAGGTGGGACAGCTCAAACACTGGGTGAAATTGGACAGGTTCCTGTCCAATTTCACCCAAAATGAACATACCAAAAGGGGAAAACACTAACATGTATAGTAGGAAGTCTTGTTCCATAATACCTCTTTATATACTGGATAATCCTCTCCACAATTCCTAAGCACAAAAAAAATATATAAATAAATGCTAAATTACTACAAGATACAGGAATATCAGGGTTACTGCATTAAATAATATACAGGGTCGTCTTTAATCTGCAGTAATACTGTGAAGTCAACGTGAAGTCTCAGCTGATTAAAATCAGCTGAGAAAATCATGAATGCAGTAGGATGTCCAGTCTGCAAGCAAGCTACACTGGAGTGGAGGAATGTAAACAGTCACCATGACAACATGGGAATATTCGCGGGGCAAGTGAAATGGATGTAGTCCAACCGCCAAGAGTACAATGTCAGGCAACAGATTCGCTCCTTGACCGTTATCTTAGCAGGATTGCGCCAATGGTTGTTTACTAAAATGTCAAGCCCCACTCCTTTCCGCTTACCATTCTTGGTGCAATCCCCATCGGCCCAAACAGCCTGGTAGCCCTCAATGGAGACATTGGCATCAGAAATGTCCGGGTTCAGCCATGTCTCCGTAAAACACATTATGCTACATTCCCCATACTTGCTTGTCTCCTGGCCAGGTGGTCATGAAGTGATCAAGATGGATAATCCCTCCATCTTGTTGACCTTTGATCTTATGTTGCCCATAGTAATGGAGGGGAGAAACGGCTTATATCTCCTCTTCTCCATAAGCTTCTGTGGTTTCTTTCTTATTGCTCTCCTCTGCTGTTTGTTTCCTCCTCTGATTGATGTGTCCTTCTCCACATCTCTTCAGGGATTTCTGTGGGTCTGGACACCATGCCGAGCAGCTTCAGCGCAATCAGCTGATCCGTGGTATAAACGAAGCAGTCAAGTTGTTGTGCCCAGTAGTATTTGTGTCATTTGTATTATTTGCAGATGACAAATATATCTTTGTTGGAAATCATATGGAAGAACAACTAAATAATATAAACAAGAAAATGAACAAACTGAAGGTGTGGTTTGATGGTAACACGTTACTAAATTTGATTAAAACTAAAATAATGCTATTTGGGAATTGCAGAAAAGTTCTGAAATAAAAAATAGAGATAAATGGAGTAAATATAGAAAGGGTTCAGGAACACAAATTTCTTGGAGTTATTATTGATAAGGTTAATTGGAAATCACATATTCGATATATCCAAAAGAAAATATCATATTGAATAATCCCAAACTGTTGGTTGAAAGAAAGCATGACACATTTTTTACTGTTCCTTAGTATTACTGTACCTCAGTTACCGTGCAGAGATATGGGGCAATAATTATGCAAATTTATTAAACTACAAAAAAGAGCAATAAGAATTGTCAATGAGGTTACCAATCTGGATCACACAAATCCATTACTTATACATTATAAATTATTAAAACTTACTTATTTAAAGCACAAAATGAACAATTACCCAAAAATATTTTAAAAAATGGTTTTCAAGAGAAGGATTTTATCATTTCAAAGGAAAATACAAATTCAAAGTTTGTAAGATCAAAACCACAAGAAGTTTTTGCGTTTCAGTCTGTGATGTGAAACTATGGAACAGTTTGATTGTGGAATTAAAACGATGTACAAACATTAAACAATTCAAACATTAGTATAGGTATAACTGTCTGGATGTATTATATTACATAGCATTGTTAGCGTCATTATGATTACTTTGTTAATATTAGTTATTATTAGCATATTACTGAATTGTATTAAGCAAGAATCTGAAAGTAGAATGAAGGTTTTCTGATGCCATGCTTATAAATAGGATGAGATCATTTTGTGATGTTCCTGAGATGGGATGGACTTAATAATTTTATACATCTATCCACTCTGTTTATTGTTTGCATTGCTGTAAATTTAATTGTAACTTGGTGTGTTCAATAAAATACAAAAAACACACACAAAAAATACAGCGAAGAAAAAGATCCAGACTCTCTTTACCACCACTGCAGAACAGGATTTTCTTGTACCTTTAAAATAAAATTATGAAGGAAATATATATGTTGATGTGTGTGCAAAGCATTATAGATCACGGAAAACAAGAAACACTGCCACTACTGTACACGTTGAACTTTGAGCTCATGTGACAGAAAATAAACGGTCATTTACATGCTCTACCTTGTAAACCACTAGCAGGTTCTCTCAGATGATTGTCATGCTGGAAGTCCAACCACAACCCATCTTCAGTGCCTTTACTGAGGGAAGGAGACCGTCATCTTTGTAAAAAGCATCCGCAAAGAGTGATGTTTCCACTCTTTGCGGATGTTGGAATTGCATTATTCCAACATCCGCAATAGTTGGATGCGGATGTTGGAATTGCATTATTGAGGTTGTACTCATCCTCCTTCTTCCAAATACGGTGAGTGTAGTTTTGACCAAAAAGCACTATTTTTTTTGTCATCAGACAACTTGACCTTTTCCAGAACATCCAGATGGTCAATGGCAAACATCAGATGGGTATGAACATGTGTTGGCTTGAGCAGGGGGACCTTACTCAAGGAAAGCCCCCCTATACTCCTGTCCCTCCTGTCCCCCTTGTCCTTGCATGGGCTGCAGGACTTTAATGCTGCACCTCTGTACAGCCCTTTAAGTTTGGTTCAAAAATATTTTAGTGGTTAGTCTGAATTTAGAACTAGTCTTTGTTAATGGTGAACATGCAAAAAATTAACTATTAAATAAGGAACTTATGTATGAGTTACACTGGAAATTATTAAGGGGTGTCAATGCGTGTAAGGGAAAATGCATGCCTTTTGTACTTTTTTATTCTCAAAACTATGCATATCTTTCAATTCACTACTTTCCACTATGCAACGCTTGAATAGTTCTAAAAAAAATTCAGAACACACAGAAGTTTGTGGTTGTAGCATCGCAAAATATAAAAAAGTTCAAACTGCATGAATAATTTTGCAAGACGGTATATAACTAATTTCCAATTATTTATTTTCCTATTATAATTATTATACTGGTACTAAGTGATTAGAGAATATTATGTACTTACATTCTTCTTTTCCAACTGAATGAACAGAGAACTTGACCGGATCTTTCTTCGGTCTCATTGGGCACCAGGTCCCGTCCTCTTGAAACTTGATTTCATCAACATCTGAGCAGTCATTAAGGATCTCCAAGAATAAACTGAGAAGAGAGTAAAATATTCACTTAATTCACTACCCTTTTTGAATAAATTTGTCTTTTCTCTCAGTTAAGTCAAAGTTTATTTTGACATCTCATTTAAAGTGACATTAGCTACCTGGATCACTAGTAGCTTAAACATTGAAATATAATAAAGCAATAAAAAAATAACCAAATAAGTAAGAAATAGCTAAAATTAAAAAAAATATGTGTACAACTGTTGAAGTAAGGGATGGTATCAGGTTAAAGAAGGAATCCTGTTGGGTCTTTTTTGGCCTGTGGAACCCCACAAGCAGTTGATGGTACTAGTAGGGCAAGTGATAAGTCAGTAAGTCAGGCTTGTTTCCTCTATGAAGGCTGCCCTTTGTCACCAATTCTGTTTATAACTTTCATGGCCATAATTTCTAGGTGCAGCCAAGGTGTTGAGGGGATACATTTTGGAGGCCTTAGGGTCGTGTCTCTGCTCTTTGCAGATGATGTGGTTCTATTGGCTTTATCAGGTCACAATCTACAGTTTTTGCCAGAGCAGTTCACAGCTCACTGTAAAGCAGCTGAGCAGATGAGGATCAGTGCCTCCAAATCCAAGATCATGGTCTTGAGTCGGGAAAGGCTAGAGTGCCTTCTCAAGATCAGAAAAGAGGTCCTGTTCCAAGTAGAGGAATTTAAGTATCTATGTCACTCTCATGAGTGAAGGAAAAGTGGAGTGGGAGATTGATAAGTGGATTGGGACTGTATCTGCAGGTATGTAGGTGCTGTAACGGCCTGTTGTGGTAAAGAGATAGCTGATTAAAAAGGTGAAACTCTTGATTCCCTGGTTAATCTACATTCCTACCTTCATCGATCTGGATCATGACTGAAAGAATAAAATTGCTACAAAATTGAATCAAGTGGCTGCAATGAGTTTCTTCCGCAGGGTGTCTGGGCTCTCCCTTAGAGATAGGGTGAAAACCTTGGTTGTCTGAGAGACATTCAGAGTAGAGCTGCTCCTTCTCCATGTTGAGAGGAGCTGAGAGGGCTCTTAGCTATCAAGAAACGTGCGTCTTGGAGCCGTGGACTAACGTTTGTCTGTGTCTATGAAATGCACCGGTCCAACGCTATGTTGTCTACCAGAAATTGAATACACTGTAAACAACCATCCTCCACTACAGGGCAGGCCCAAGGCAAAAGCAAACTAAGCGGTCACTTGGGGCTCCAAGGCCACTTGGGGGCACCCTAAGGGGAAATTATTTTTTTGGGTTTTTTATAGTAATGACTTCTATGTGACTATATTAACAAAAACACACAATTTCTTGATAAAGTTGTGTTTTTTTTTTGTTTTTTTTTAACAATAATATATATTTCATAATGTATGTCATTTCTTATATGGACACTAAGAAAAAATAAATTGCTCTTGGGTGCCTCTTGGTGGTTGTGGTAGGTCAAGCTTCACCAGTAACATGAGCTGCTGTGCAATGTGAAGTGGGTATCCAAACCTCCAAGGCACCGGTGGAAGATAAATTAGCAAAACAATGTCATAAAAAAGGAGAGAGAAAAGAAAGAGATAGAATAGTTAACAAAGGCCAAGATAAAGGTATGTTTGCATGTCTCTTGGTAATGTAATGTTTACCAAAAAGATTTGTGAAGCTGCTAATAGAAACGTTGCTCAACAGCAATCTTGAACAGTCCAGTTCAACATCTAAACATTTATGCTAGAATGTTTGTATTTGTGTGAAACTGAATTTTAACTTAAAATGAGTTGATTCTCCTGGTTTGTCCTAAATATTTGAGGTTTTTCTTGGCTTAAAAACAGTGTGTTTGATATGTTTGATAACAATTAAAAGTTCCCAATCACTGACATGTTTTGAACAAAAATTGTTTTTTTTACAACAGGTTACATGGCTACTACATTAATATATCAGTGAGCTACTCTCAGCTGTAGTTGGCAATATGCTGTTTGCTGCTCATAATTTATGTGACTAAAACAAACCTTATTTTTTAATCAACTTCTAAGTTATGTGAAACTTCTCCCGGAGCACTGCTAAAATTGTTTCAAGACTCAGAATCAGCCCAGTACTGGTCCACATTCTCAGGTGAGAAAGACTTGCCTGGTATAAATTACATTTTTTGTTATTGAAATTATGCCAGAGTATTAATTTAATCAAAATACATCATGAATATTTGTGTATGTATTCCATCTTAAGTAGGGCTGCACCGACTGCAATTTTCTGGCCGATCACCAATTACGATCTTTAAAAAGCCTAACCTGCCAATTTTGATTTTGGCCAATACTGATTTTTTTTTAATCTGAAATGTTGCTTAATATAGCAAGAAAGTTGGCAATAGCGGGGTGACTATTGCCAAGAGGCTACATTAAAAGAGTAAAGGTTTTGTGCTCATTTCCAACCTCTATAAGTATTAAAAGAGATGCATGTGCTAGTTTTCATGTCTAAATTCCATATACTTACACACAGAAAATTTTACATTTCTTAGGAAATCTTGATCCCTTTTCTAATAAATAAAACGAAGACTTGCTTTACATTTACAGTATATTTTAAAACTTGTCTTGAACATATACAACCTTAAAGGTAGTTAAAGATAGTTAGTGTCAATAAAGGCATCTGTTTGATGCCCTAAGCAACAGCTATCCCTGTAACCTCAAAATGTATGCATCTGTGGGGCTTACCAGCCAGAAATGACCAAAAAACAAGACAGCTATACCTAAAATGATGATGGAAATCTTAAGCGTATTATGGTGAAATAAGAATACATACCATGTGTAATTTATTTGAAACCCCCATAAAAAATCTTTCTGTATTTTTATAGCTGTTCAAATAGTTACTATAGTCAAAATAGTCAAAGGAAAAGAAGTCTATAAACATATGTATATTTCACAGACCTACTCAGACCATGAAAACAAATTAAATTTCAGAATTTTAAGATGTGTAACTAATTAAAGTAACATGATTTTACAAACCCATCAATAATGAGATTCTCATAATCAGCTTTCTTGTCACACACAGGACAGATCCAGGTAGGTTTCTTTTCATTCATCTGCAGGTAGAGGGCAGCATCAAAGCACTGTAGATGAGAGCATGTCACAGCTCTGCATGGGACTGTCAGTCGCATCTTACCCAGCTTAAAACAACAGATAAAATAAATTAAATCAAAACATGAACAAAAATACTTGCTTTAATGTATTATACTTTGTTCGGTTTGACCAAAAAACAAGACAGCTGTACCTAAAATGATGATTGAGTAACTGAGTTATTAAACATGAAACCTAACAAACAGAAAAGCTAAATGTTATTGTGTTCATGTCATAAATGCAATGAGAACAAAAGCATGTTTATTTTTGATGAAAGATAATCAGATATATAATCCTTTCTTAGAACACTCAAAGACGCTTTACAATGAAATCCGTCATTCCCATTCATGCACACATTCACATACAAAAATGTATAATATTCTAGGTACTTGAAGGTTTGGTTAAACTTTGGTCTGGAAAACTCTGATTCCAAGTTTTAAAAAACTTATGGTTGTAATTTTCTATTTGGATATAGAACAAGTTATTTATTAAAATTATGGAATTTTTTTTTTACCAATAGCTATATTTGTGCACTATGTTTGGGTCAGGTCAGTGCCAAAGGAAGCATTTCCTAAAGCACTATAGACCATAAACACATCGCTCTGACCTCTTATATCATGAAGGTTATGGAGATGATGATATGGGCGCACCCAAAGACACAGGTGGGTGAAGCCCAGGACCCTTTGCAATTTATACATCTCCTGCAGAAGGTCTATTCCTCCTTTGATATACCTGATACTTTATCTTTGTCGAAGGCTGATTCTCATCAGCCTTCCAGCCAGAATTAATACGTGAGAAGCTCAAAAAATGGATGTGGCTGCATCACGCATCACCTGGATCCTTGACTGACAGTTTGTGAGGTTATAGGAATGCGTGTTAGATAATCTGCTATGTAAAAACGGAGCTCCTGGGGAACTGTACTATTCACCACCGACACTGTGGACTTTAAGTACTGTTCCAAACTGTGCAATCTGAATAACTACTCAGAAGACATGGCTATAATAGTGTGTTGAGAGGGACTGGAGGTGGAGTACAGGACTTTGGTGGATGATTTTCTGCCATGGTGCTGAGAGAACCAACTCCAGTTAAAAGTAGACAAGACCAAGGAAATGGTCATCAGTTTCTGCCATAATAAAAATTCTTAGCCCCCAGTCTCCATTTCAGGAGCAGAAGTGGAGCAGGTTCAATCCCATTAGTAGCTCTGTGTTGACTTGGACTGGAAGTTGCAGTGGGCCATGAATGCTGACATACTCTACAAAAAGGCCACATCCATCCATCCATCCATCCATCCATCCATCCATCCATCCATC